GTGACAGACCTGACCTTGGTGTTTTGGGGAGGACTGTGGAAGTGTTTGGAACTTTGGGCTGGAAAAGCCATTGCGTGTAGAGTTTGTTGCAGTGGAGCTTGGAACAGTTATGCTGAAAGAGTTGTAGACGATGGAGGCCTGGCTTGTGAAGCTTCAAAGGGAAGTGGAGACTATCAGGGCTGTTTGTATGAGATTTTGTATTGAGAATCTGTGAGCTCTGGTTGGCTGGGGCTGAAGAATAAGCTGTGATTAAGAAGAGACCAGAACCTGAAGCAAACCTTTGCTTTGATGCTGGTTAGCTGGGGCTGAAAAATCAGCTGTAAGTAACAAGAGACCAGCATCACTGAGGTGAAGTCTTCTGGGAGGTATTTCCTCAGGGTCAGCACACAGAGGGGACCTGAGCCTCTATCTCAAGCTAGAAGCAGGACTTGGTAATGTGTAAGAGTCTCCTGCATGGTTCTGGTGTTGAAAGCATGAGGGGTCACAGAGAGCAGCTGAAGCTTCGCACGCAGAGGCCAGGAAAGGCCATAGGTGAAAGTGCAGCTTCAGTTGCAGTTAAGACCCCAGAATTGAAGGGGTCATGGAGAGAATCTGAGGCCTCTGCACCCCAAGAGGCAAGAAGAGGACACTGGTGAAGGTGTAGCCTCAGTTTCAGTGGAGACCCCAGCTTTTCGGAGATGCTGGGACCATGGGACGAACACCAAGAATAGCAGTAGGTGTGGAATGTAGCTAGCCTGGGTCTACGAGATGAGCTGAGTGTGCTGTGGACGGCAGAGTGAGAGATGCCAGTACCCTTTGGAGCCCAGAAGATTGTGAGTGAATCCCAGATAGATGTCCAGCCTTGAGCTACTTTGCTGGACTTTGGTCTTGCTTAGGTGTGCCCTATTCTTCCCTTTGAAATAAGACAGTACTTGTTTTGGATTTTATAGAAGCCCACAGTTAAGAGACTTTTGAAAAAGACTATGAACTTTTAAGTGGTTGGATTTTTTTAAGGATTGTGGGGTTTTTAAGGTTGTACTGTCTTATGTTGTGATATTAACATTATATCTTGGGAACAGAAACTGGAAAGTTATGATTTAATAGTGATACTGTGTGTCAAACTGACAAGGGGTCAATTGTGCTGGATAGCTTTAGTGTTAATTTGACACACCTGGGTTGAGGGAGCCTCAGTTGGGGAATTGCCTCTATTGGACTGGCCTATGGCCATGTCTGAGGGGCATCTTTTTGATGAGTGATGTGGGAGGGCCCAGCCCACTGTGGGTGGTGCCACCTCTGAGCAGGTGGGCCTATGTTGCACAAGAAAGCAGGCTGAGCAGGGGCCAGGGGAGTAAGCCCGTAAGCAGTGTTCCTCCATGGTCTGTGTTCTAGCTCCTGCTTCCAGGTTTCTACCCTAAGTTCCTATCTTGGGCTCCCTGATGAATTGTGACCTGGGAGATGTAAGATAAATAAACCCTTTCCTCCCCAAGTTGGTAGTGGTCAGAGTGTTTTGTCACAGCAATGGAGAAACAGACTAGGACAGGAATATTTAATAAGTCTACTGAAAAATACACATTTAATATGAATGTTGCGTGCACGTACATAGCTGGAAACTATACAACAAAAATCACTGTGCCCGGAAGAGGACGTTTCCCTTCAAGTTGTGGGTCAAGGCAGTCCAAGAGACTGCAAAAAGAATACAGGCTACTGCCACAACCATTGATTGTTCCCAAGAACATGAAGGAAAGCCCCCCTATTGCTGAAGATATGGCATACTTTGGATATAGGACTCGGAGCAATGGAGCTGGAAATGACCTAGAAGCTTCCTCCCTGAAGAATAGCTCTTATAGTATCAGAAGATACTATGTAAGCTGCCAAGGGAGAAAACCAATCAATGATCCTACCCAGTAGGAACCACAACAATGATCAGTTCAGCAATTTACCTCTATTGGTGCAGCAGTGGCACTT